TGCGGATCCTCTCCCCAGCTGGGTGCTCAGTGAGGGGGAGACCAGTCAGTGCATGGGTCGAACTGGGGGGAGGCAGGTGCGGGGTGGGGAGGTGAAGAAAATTCAGCCCGGTGCGCGGTCCTGACTTGACAGATATCTGTAGTGAAGCTTCCAAGGCGCTTGCTTAGATAGCTTGTGGTAGCTCACCCTCAGTCGAGAGCTTGGAGGAAGTACGTGAATGTTTATTTTGGTGTTGAAGATCACTTTAATGCCAAATGCAACAAATTCAAGCAGAATTAGCAGCCCGAAAATACCCTTCTCTCTCTGTAATCATAAAATCGTCATGTAAAACTTTTGTGTTCGCTTAAAGGCAGCTTTATGACTTATTTTATTAAGTGGTAACTTTAAGAATCTGCTTTGGTGCTTTGTATTCCCTGAGGCATAGGGAATCTTGCAAGCAGCTGCCTCAGTGAGAGACGATGCCGTTGGCTTTGAGTCTCCAACGTTAAGCTGACACTGGCATTTGCGTGATTGGACTTCACTGAATGAATATGGGGGGGGAGATACCGAAGTTTGCATTAATGGATTTAACCGGTACGTATGTGATTATGTTTTAAGTAGGGTGTGTTGTTTGTGAAATATGGCCAGATTTATGCAGTGACCTGTATGTATTTGATAACTCGTTGATATTTTTTAGGTTGCAGGCAGGAGAAGGCTTTGTACGTGCAGAAATATTTTCTGATATATTGAGAGCAACTCACAGGAGTAATTTGAAAATTAAGATTTGATGCTTGACATCCGGAGGAGATGGAGTGTGTCTTATGCATAAGTGGTTTTGTCTCTTTCGGTTTCAGATACTCTCAGATGTATTCCTAAGAGATTAAAATCAAAGTCGTATGTGCTTTTTATTTAACTGAAAGGACTTGGCTAAATCTGCTTTATTAAATGGAAAAAAAAAAATCCCCTGGAGCTTTGTATCTAAACTAGCCAGTTGGTGCAGAATTGCGGGAGTGTCATGTAGTATCTAAGAACAGCAAGATGACTAAAAATCGCATTCTTTTCTGTAAGAACCTGGATGTGCTTGGGCCTGCTCTCTAAGTCTTTTTCATGGTTATTCAAAAACCTGTTGAATGTTGGCAGTCTTCTGGAAACCTCTTATTGTGGGCAGCTAATAACAGCTTAATGCCAACCTCCTAGGAACTGGTTCTGTGGGCCAGTGAATGATTCAAGTACCAAGTCAATAGAAGGAGTTGGTGTTCGTTGTCTTCAACAGTAAATGAGTTGTTAATACTCCTGCAGTCCCCAGAATGCTTCACAGATACTGAGCTTTATCACACTAATCAGAAAAGCAGACATCCCTTTTAGAAATCCCTTTTGAGGAAGGCTGCTTAAAACCCACTACCTTAAGTGGTATTAAGGTTGTAACAAAAAAAGAGCAAAATAGAAATCCTTGATTAAGGCCAATGCATAACCTGCTAAGTATGAGTCATGTATGTTATTAGCACATGCTTTCATCTCCTGTTTACTTTTACTGGATTGTGGTCTTCATAATGATAACAAGCATCTCTACCGACTTGCATAAGAGAAGCAGTAAGCAGCCTGTCCTTTCTCTAGTGACAATCCTGAAGAGATTAGCTGGGTCCTCATATGCCTCTTGCATCTCACGCGAATCAGTCTTTATGCTTGTGCTGATGAGAGTATTAGGGTAGAATTGGTTTTTGCACTGGAGCTCACAATCATGCCAGAATTGAAACGATTTTATGCTGTAAATAGTAAAAACTTGCTGAAAATACTGCATGGGATCGCCCAGCTCTTACTGTTTTTAAGTAGTACCTGTCTTTTTAATCTCTACTGTTACTTTCTGTCTAGGGTGAAGGCATGATCTTGTTGAGGAGAGACAAACATTACCTGTTGGAACTGCCTGCTTTTATTCTTGAGTTGGCTTGAAAGATGGGAATGCCATCTATGGCATTATGTGACACTGGTGCTGCTAGGCTGAGGCTGTAACCCTTGCTGGTCTGTTGTCGGGGATAAGAGACCCAACATCTGTGTTGCAGAAGGCTGCACTGTCCTGCTTCAGCTGCCAGGCTAGTCCATCATGACAGCCTTTGCAGTTAGTAGAAGAAATGCTGTCAAAAAACTTTCCATTGCTCTTGCTCTTTTATTTGTCTGAAGTGCTGCACAAATTAGCAACAACATTGTTCCAGGTTCTTGTTTTCCACATTTTCTCCTAGAATCTGGTTGTGATAGAAAGGAAGAGACTTCTACCCCCAAAATGAGAAGTTTCTTGAAGAGTTCAGGTTCCTGTTGTTGTGTAAGTCTCCACATGATGGTTTTTCCTTGCATTTTTTTTGAAGTGTATATATTGCTCTCCCCGTGAGAAAAAGACTATGTTCTTACCCTGGACATCTTTTATAGTCTAGATTAAGACATGATAAGTCCTGACAAATGCTAGGAAGGGAGAGTGTTGGAGTCAGCAATGACTTTAAATTCTTACTTTTTTTTTGTCCAGTGAGGTTACATGACTCAGACTGGGCTGTTGGGAGTTTCTTCTGAAGATGTACATGTTGGTTGAAAACCGCACAAGTTCCCATCTTCATCTGAAGAGGTCACCTGGCATCCGATCTTGGTCTCTCTTTGTTGGTAAGACCATAATATTCCTTAGTTTATTTCAGAGCCTGCTTTAAGGGAAGGGGGTCACAGAATAAATTCCTGAAAGAGCCTCTAAGAAGAGATGCCTGTCTTTCGGGCATTTTTCTTTCAAGAAGAGCAATCATCATGCTTTGAACTTCTTTAGCGTAGCCACTAAATGAGTCTGCAGTCTCCTCCTCGGTGTGGTAGTTTCACTGTGAGACTGATAATTTTTCATCTGCAGAACCTCAGAGGCTCATGGACAGAATTTTAAGGGAGTCCTGAAAGATCAAGAAAAGAAAGTTTATTATATGCTGTATAGCAATATAAATGTGAAGCTTCTGAAGGGGATGCATACTTACATTGAAAAACGTCTAGGTTTTCAGAAACTGAAAAATCTGCAGTGAAGCGATGCTGGGGTTAGATCTTGCGTGTGGTTGACAGTGAACTCTTAACGGCACTGTGTGTGCGAAATAGGAAGTCATACAGGATGTTCTGAAAGGCATCTGTTTTTAAACACTACTGAATATGCAGAAAAAAATGGAGTGGTACTTCTTAGGACCACACTGAGAGAGCTGGTGGGGAAAATGCAGCATATCCTGCTTTCCAGCTGAGTAGATCCCATTGCAGTAACACTACAATGCTGTCATTGCTTTCAGTGATGTCGTCTTGTCAAACTCTCACAGGGACAAAATCTTTGCGGTTGCAGTGGTGCTCTGGGGCACAAGGCACTTTTGCATTGCTTCCTCCTCAATGGGAGAAAGGAGCTGGCAGCTTCTGACACAGCTTTATTGCAGAAGTTTGCTTTTGGCTCCACAGAGCACTTAGAGGGGAAAAATAACTGCTGTAGTGTTTATGTTAGCATGCTCAAAGTTGTACTGCGCTCGAGAGGAAGTATGGTGTAATGGTTAGACTGAGTCCCTCTGAAGTTCTGTTCCTGATTCTGTCACGACCTTTTATTTCTGACCTCAGACCTGTGTTTTTAGTGTCTTTGCAGAATGGGAGTTTTTTTATACTGAGTTCAGAGAAAAATAACTCTTTCATGCAGTGATCAATGTTGCAATCACATTGCAATATTTTTGAAAAGTGATGAACTTGTGAATATTCGTATGTTTTTTATCAGGGAATTTTAGATGGTTTGAGCTGCTTGTTTGTACTAATTCTCTCCCCTCTTATCCTAGGAATAGCCTCCATAGGTTTGGCTGCTGCTTATTATAGTGCAGGTAATGGCCTATCATTTTTTGAAGAACTGTTCATTTCCTGTTGATCTGTTTTTGTCTGATGCTGATGACTCCTCTCTGCAGCTTCTGTCTGGCCTCACAAAGGCAGTATAGGTACCTATCACACTTTGTGGCGTGAATATTAAAACCCAATCATAATCACTGCCTGTGTATGACTTACCGTGCTTTAATGCTCTATTTCTTACTCAGCCTCCCTTTCCATTTGCAAGAGTATTTTTAATAACGATATTTAGTACTCTGTGGCATTTTGTACTTTGTGTGTTTTATAAATGTGATTAGCTGGTCCTCACAGCTCTCCTGGGAAGACATATAATGATTGTTTGCCACCATAATGAAATGATGACCTTGCCTTTGACGGAAGTGCTCTGTTTCTCTGGAAACTGTTAAATCATCACTGGCAGGGATTACTCATAAAAACACCTTTAGAGAACAGACAGCTGCTGCTGCTGCTTCCTGCCCCCTCTGCAATAGAGCAGACGGTACCAAATGCCAGGTATCCTTCCATCTATGGAATTTATCCTGCAGGCTGTCCTGTGATGCTCTTGTTGCATCCTATTAACATCAAATTTTAAAACTTAATAGTGTGTAGGAATATACTACCAATATAATCAATGTATCTTTATTTTAAGAGCAAAGTCCAGTGAAAGCTGCTTGAGACACCAGCTATATCAGCCTTTTTTTCTTAAGACATTGCAACAAAGTTTTCTGAAACAATACTGAGCACAGTTCTACTCTGCTTTCAGTAGAAGTCTGAGTAAGCAAATTGCTTAGGCCGCTATATGTAAATGTTTCCAGGACATGAAATGCAAATGTATGTTTGTCAAGAGGGCTGACTGCTTCCTTTTATGAAGAAACATGTTTGCTTCAGTGAATTTCCATTGTCCCTTGCCCTTGTCCTCTGCAGCACAAATACTTGGTGGTTGAGAGCAGGTTGAGTTTTGTGGATGCCTTTTAAGATGCCTTTGCTTTTAGGGAAGAGAGATGTGTAGTGATGTTATGACCTTGCCAATAATACATACGCTTATAATTCTGCATGGTTTGGAGCCCAGTGTAGATGGAGTCTTTGAAAAATACCTGAAGAGTTTCTGTATTTTTATCCTGGGAGGGAGCTGTAAAATAGCTTGCATTACAATTAAAGGCAAAAATGTTGCATCAGAGAAACCTCTTTTCCTTTTGTTGCCTTTAAAGGGAGCATGTTGCTTTTAAAACTAACTGAATACCAAAGAAGGGAATAACCCCCTAAATTTGTGCTTTTTTTTTTTGCATCATTCAGACAGCTTGGCATGGAAGCTCTTCTATATGGCCGGGTGTTTCTTTGTGGCAGCACAGAATCTGGAGCAGTGGGAGGTAAGACGCTGAACTCAGGAAATGAGGTCGTGCTAGTTTAGAAACAGTTGACAGATGCTGATTCCAGCAGCCCCATGCACTTGCTCAGTCCAAACAGACAAGTTATGCTTTTGGTTTTGAGGAAACCCTTTGGGGTTGCTATACCAGAACTACAATTAGGGCAATAATTCTTTCACTACACAAACATGAAAACATGAAGCTAAACATAAGAGTGTTTTTTAAGGGGAGACTTGCCCCAAACTGTTTTGTGGCCCGTTCTTCCTCTTACAGAAAAGAGGGAGAAAGAATAGCACATTCAGCTGCTGCAACATGATTTTGTACTTACTGTGCCAGCTAATGACAGAACGACTATTAAATAGGGTAGCTCTAACCTTCCAGGCTACTCAGCCGTCTTCCACTGGGAAAAGAGTGGTGTTTGCAAAGCTGGTTTATAATCTTGTGGATGTTGATTTGCTGGGAGTGGGACTGAGAACAATAACCCGTTATATAGGCTTGTCACTTCACTGACCTGAGTTCTTACTAGAATAAGCAACCCACACATATTAGTCATCCTCTTTTCATTGACTGTCAGGGATATTTTAAATCTAGTGTAAGCCTGGCCCATATAGCACAACACTGCAATTTTGGTGGAGTTGGTGACTGTTTGTGAAAAGTGTATCTAGAACTTATGTTCGCTGTATAGTTATACTGTAGGCCAAATGCATACATCAACAGTGAAAATTACAGGAGCTCCAGGGTTAGTGTTCAAATTTGATTCCAGGCAAAGTTTTTTATTGCATAAAGAATGTGGGAAGAAGGGCAGTGAAACCAGCTTTAACTTCCTTGTAGAAGTAACACAGGAGGCATGGTAAAGTCTCTGTTAAAGCCAAGAGCAAGATTGCGATTTTCACAGTCTAATAATAGAGGAATGTCTTTAAAATAGCTATGTATTTTTCTGTGTTACCAAGATTATTTTCCCATATAACTATTTTCATTTTACTTTGAAGCATAGCTACTGATGGTGTTTTTAAGAAAAATCTTGATTTTTCTTTTTCAATTTTACAGGAAGCTGTATTTGATAAGAACAAGGGAACAGTCTGCCTAAAAACATTCAATCTTTACAAAAAAATACTGACCTTCTCAAAAGGAGGCCATGAACAAGGTGAGAAAGCAGTATCTGTGGTGGCAAATGTGGTGGGCAGACAGGAGAAATGCATACATGCCCATTTAATAATCTTCTCTGGAGTTCTGTACTCAAATTAGTCACATCTGTTTCCAGATCTGCTTTGTTCCCAAGCAGCAGATGTAATAATCTGCCTCTCAGGACCCAAATGGTTTTTCAGGTTAGGGTGCTGAATGCATCTTGTTAGTTATTTTAATCCAAGGTAACTAGGCTTACATATTGCTTTCTATAATAGTCTTAGCCGTTCCTTTGGGATGTTAACATGCAGGTTTACATTTCCCTTGGCTCGCCTGCTCTGTAGGTGGGACTGGTGGAAAAACTTAAATTTTTGGATCCAGGAGCTGAGACTTCTATAATCTAATCTGGTTTTGGTAGCAGGCAAATCTTTAGATATCATATGCAAGCAGGCATGTTACGTCTTGCAGATATATCATATGCATTTAAAACAGCATATTCAGTAGGCTCAGCTTAATGCAGTATCACATTTCTTTTGAGCTTCCTGTCAGAGTAACAGAAGTTGAAGTATAGTATGTGACTTGGTTGAGTCACTGTGAGACAGGAGCTCCGTTGCAAACTAAAGTAGGATCCTCTTCAGTGTCAGATTTTTTTATTCTACTTGCTAGTCTACATCAAACCAACTCAGTACGCTTAGAAAACTGACAAAATTTGGAATGTCCTTAAGTTGAATTGGTTTTTCAGCAGTTCATTTTGGAGGTGGAAGATAAGGGATGTGGAGAGAAGGATGTTTAATGTGTCTTGACTTTTCTTTAGGGTATGTTTTTATGTTGGGGAGCTGAGCACATCTCTTCCTGCAAGGTTATTTGGTAATATCTGTTTCAAGTACCATTAACATGGGGATGCAGAGATCAGCAGATGCTCTGAACAGTTAAATCTTTCAGTATTTGTTCAGTCTCAGTAAACTTGACACCTGTTTACTCTGTACAGAACAATAGTTAAAACTGTCATTAAAGTAAGTGGGAAACATCTTGTTCATTGGGGCCTATACCAGCTAGTATGTGCTGTAGTTGCTTCTTGTTTGTTTTGCCTGAATAGCTCCGCAATTGTTTGCTATTGCAGGACTGCCCCAGTTGTGTGGGATCAGGGCAACGGTACTTCAGAGCACAGAGTCCCAGTCACCCAAGTCACTAGCAGCAGTGTTGAGAGTTTACTGTAATGCTAATAGACTACTTTGTTTTCCACATCTGTTTACAGTAGTGGCTCTACTGAATGAGATCCGAGATGTGAATGTGGAAGAGGAGACCGTGCGATATTTTGGGAAGGGTTACCTGGTTGTGCTACGATTTGTCACCGGATTTTCACACCCACTGACTCAGAGTGCAGTGTTGGGCTGTAGAAGGTGCAGTGTGGACTTTTTAAATTAGAACGTGTAAGGTGGGAAATACCAATCACATGGGTCAGTAGTTCTCAACTACTGAGACTCATCTTAGCTCCATTTTCATACTTGCTGATATGACCTTGTGTTATTCGGTTTAACTTTTTTAAACCCTTTAATGCTTTCAGTTGCAGACATTTGGGTAACACCATCTCCCGTCAGGAGACTGATCATATTTAGACATCTAAGATCCCTTTAGTGCTGCACGTCTAGCTCAGCTGTGCAGTGGCAGAGGGGATTAATTCTATTTTGCAAACATTCAGTGTATTTACCAGTTAACAGGATTTATTTTAAGCATCGATAATAAGGAATCTTGCAGCAGGGACTGTGGGAAAAGGATTGATTTGTTCTGATGTGAAAGTAATTAATGGCTTGGCTTGATATGCCTTCACAAGTGGGATGCTGTCAGTCATAGTGACGTATGTTCATTCTCAAGAATTAGCATGCCTGTTCTTGTTTTGTCAACACCACGGTTCCGCTAACTCTTACATTGTTTTTTCTTTTCCACAGTGATGTGGAAGCAGTTGCCAAACTCATTACTAGTTTTCTGGAACTGGACAGAGTAGAAAGCCAACAAGATCTCTCTCAGAGCAGCGAAACAGAGGCTAGTGATGCAGATGAACCACAGGATAAATATTAATAGTCGTCGTGAGCTGAAGAAAGCAGAGGCTTTCAAACATCTGGAAAATACACTGATTGTTCTTCAGAAAAAGAAATCCCTCACAGTCTTGACCTGGGCATTTCTCTACATGTGCATTTACAATGGGAGGAATCTGTCTTAGGGCGCCTTTTTTAGTGCTAAACGGCTTCAAGATCCATGCTCACAGTATTGCCGTTGTAGAGTCCAAAGCAAATTCTGTTTTATTTGCTCCTTTGACTTAGTTCCTGCATGTGGACATTGCTGGCTTTTGAACTTCGTCAGCTCATCAAACTTGTCTAGGAATAGTTATTTATTAATGAACTGGTTTGAAATCATTTATTGCTTTCCCATTAATGAAGTGGAGATACAGATGTAAACTTCCACTTATTGCAAACATCTGCTGCAGGTACAGTATATGAAATGTAGAAGAGCTGAATTTGTAACTCATAACACAATGCTTTGAGGTTTTTCTTGAAATGTTACAAATGACTGAATATATTGCTAAATTGGTTTTAAGCAGCTTAATATATGCAATTAGGTGATGCAGGATAGTGGCACTTATATTTTCTACTACTGACTTGCCATTAGATACTGGAGGAAATCAAAGTTGGAGTGACTGTCTCGGAATTGGAAACATCAGGCTGATCAACTTGTTACATTGCCTTACTTCTCTTGGACTTGCCAAGGAGTCATAAATAGTAAGCAAAAAATGATCACGTTGATGATTCAATGTCTTTAGGATGTTCTAGCTTAATCCTGTTCTGCTTAACTTCTGGGCATAGACTACCCCAAGATATAATAACCTTTTTTTGGACCTCAACATTTACTCTTTTAACTGTGTATTTAGAAAAGAAAAGTGCATGTGTTACTTTAGGTAGGGAGAAGACAGATGTCAAACAACATGGCAGCCTAGATTTGTTTAGTATTTCCTCACTTGAAACGATACCGAAGGGCTCAATAATAACTTAATATTTTTAAGATAGCTGGGATAGATCCAATGTTTGACTTGCGCCTGTGTTTTACTCCAGGTATATGTAGTGTCCTCTGTTCTGTCCAATGGTTTCACAAATAGTTAAAATATGAATTTTCTAAGATGTTTTTTGAAGTAAAAGCTACCTCTGTTAGTCAACATGCTCTGTCTAGAACTAAAACTTCTTCATGCCTATATCAACATGTCAGTACAAGAAAGAAGTTGTAAAGAGCTGAAAGTTCCTTCAATGTGCTAAAACTGCTTGTATTAAAGTTCACTGGGTTTTGTTTAGGAATTGTATGGTGGTAAGACCTGAATTAGAAAATATTTACACAGTTATTTCTAGGAGATCTGAATGGGGTAGAAGGTAACTGTGGTCTGCTTTCACATTTGGCCAGCAGCAAACGTCTTCTGGCAGCAGTTACTTCAGGACTTAAAAGAACATGCGTTCTTCTTTCGAAGCACTCTACCTCTGCAGAAGAGAAACCTTTGAAAAGATTTCAGGAGAAGCTGTGTCCTGTTGTGTGTTCCAGCTGTATCTGAAACTAAGCACGTGCTTATCTGACCAAAGAACAGGTCATACCAAGACTTCAGTTCCAGCCATTTAGACCCAGTATGTGAGCCGTGAGACAAAGATGCTCTTAACTGTCGGTTTGAAAGGGTAATCAAACCGTAACAGGGAGATAGCTGCTGATGCAGCTTGACTGCGGTACAGAACTGGGTCTGTTACTATTAAATAAGAAAAACTTGTAATCGCATCAGGTATCAAAGCAGACCTCCGCCAATAGCCATGCTTGTGAAGCCCTCTGAGTTGGTGAGCTAATGTGGCTTTCAGTCTCTACCCCATGTCACTGGAATTGGGAAGCTGCCATGTAGGAATGTGGGAAATTAGGTTGCAGGCAATTAGCTAAATTTGGCCTTTATTCTGAAGCACAGCTGTAAGCTAAGAATAATCAAACCTGTCTGAAAAAAAAAATTGCAGGATGTAACATTTTGGAGAGATCTTCATTTAAATCCACTCTAATGTATACCCTAGGTAAGAGGCATTTTGGAGAGAGGAGAATGAGCTTGGGAATTTGGAGAACTCCCCCCCACCCATATAAAATGAATGTCAAGTGTTCTAAGGACTTAGAGTAAGAAATACTGAAAAAAGTAGAGTTTTTAATGGTATAATGTAAGCAAAAGGGCTCAAACTGCAGATAACTGCTGCTTTGTAGCAAGGATATTCAGAGGGACTACATGGTATGGATGTGTGCTGCACTTAATATTCTGAGCCCACAGATTTGACCATGGATGAAATGGACAAAACTGCCTGCATCCCATCTTAGCGATACTGGCCTGCTTTTGTATTTCCATGAGGGCTAACGTTCCGTGGAAGATACAAACCATACTGTGGTTTTCCAGTTAAAAATCAGCTTTAGAAAGGTACATCTATTGATCTAACCCTATCCTGCACGGCGTGCCCTGCTTCTGCTGAGCTCTTTTGTGCATCTAGTTTGCTGGACATTCTTGACATTAGTAATGTATATACTTATGGACTATGCAATATCATTATACAAAGACTAAAACAACGTAAGGAAAATCAGAATCCCTAGAAGGGGGAATGACCTATAGTAAGACATAACATAGCTTGAAATACGTTCTGTGGAGTAAGTTGCATTTTGAGTTGATGTCCAATGATCATCTCTTTTAAGCATCCCCCTCACACCTCGGTATCCTACTGATAGTAGCTTGGAGAGGGATGACTGCTGGCATGCACTGTGTGTGTAGGAGGAATATTTTGACGACTCAGCCTTTCACTCTTGGAACAGCTGGCGTAATCCTCTCTCGCACCATGTCCGTTTTGCATTTGGCAGCTCTGTTGCCATACAGACTAGCACAGTTTCAAATGAGAACCCGAGTTCCGTAGACTGAGCTAACATGAAGGCTGAGTAAATTCTTGAAACGCTGTGGTTCTGCCTGCGGGCTGTGTGTCAGGCACTGCTGGCTTGGTATGTACAACTGGGAGCTTATTGTGATACTGACCTACAGTGCAGGTAAAGAATGTTGCAACTTGGCGCTTGGATGCTGTACGTGAATGTGTATCACAGGCCAATGTGTATTTCTCTTGATCTTTGGTTTTGAGCTTCCCTTCTTCAAAAACTGTTTGTCTTCTGCACTTGGAAGACACATCCAGATTTTCATGTTTTGCAGTAACTGTGTGCATGGAAAATTAACTTGCAAATTGGTGTTAACATGGATTTGGTTATGGCAATGTCTGCAGACTCCTCAGCGATGTGAAAGGAACTGTTTAGAACAGCAGGTGCCAGCTGAGGACAGGTTCTGTTCTTCCCTCTTTCCGCTAGTCCTCTCTGATCCTCTTTTCCTGCCACTTTTCACCATTTTGCTGAAGGCTTTTTTGGATAGTTTTCCTCACTCCTCTTGGGCCTAGCGTATCAAAAGGCCCAGTAAACGTAGCCTCATGTGTGCCTGATGTAAAGTGGCTTATACTAAAAGGAATGATTTGAAAGACTAGTTTTGGTTAGGAAATTAGATACTCCTAGAAGAGTGTTACAGGAGATGTTTGTTAAGGTTTTTGCATCTCAGGCTGTCTAGAAACTTGAGACTAGACAGCTGTAGTTTGACTTACAAGTGATTTGAAAACCTGCATAAAAGATCTTAAGTTAGATCTAAAACCCCTTGCTCCATAAAGCCAGCGCTTTCTGTTATGTCTGTTAATGTAAGTGTATGGTAAGTGCCATGTGGTAGATGCTTCAGCTTAAACTTGCGCTGCATGTTTGAAGTTCCTCGCACGTGTGCGGTGGGATGGGATCATGGCCTTAGCTGTTGTACTGAACAAAAGCTATACTGCATGTTGTACTGAGGGAGAAAGTTGCATTATCTAAGCTATAATCTAATATTCTAATATTTCACAAAATGAGATCTTCCAGTAACTAGGATCAATTGTGCAAGTCTCAAAGAAAATGGAAGTATTTATACTACATAGCTGAGATCTGACTCGTGCTGTATTTATGAAGCTACACAGATACCAAAACCCAAGCTGGCTTACATAGTAAAGAGTGCTAGTTCTGACACTGTAGTAGATTGCCGAGAGGCAAAAATACTTTTGGAAGATGTTTAGCAATTGCTTTTCTACTTTAAAATTGCAAGTAGAATTTCAGCAAGGCCTAGTATATTGTCTTTTTTAAAAAAATGTCCATTGATAAAATCAACTTTGATAACTTGTTTTGTGTCACTGTAGTCTTTTATATTGTTTTTAATTAAAATGTATTAAAATATTAATGGCTGTCTAAACTACCACTTGGCACAGACCTATTGAAGGAGTTAATGGGGGGAAGGACAGAGTAGAGGAAGCCCAGATACCTAGCTCCTCACTGACCCTGCTCACACTCCGTTACAGCAGTCCAGCTTTCAATTTCATATAAGCTGGTATAACCAACTCTCCGCTGCTGAATATATTTGCATTTTTCCCTCTTTAAACCAAACCAACATGCCACATGCAAAACAAAGGCAAGCTCCCACAAACAATTTGAAAAGGATTTATTAAAGTATTAAAGTAAAATAAAGATCGTGTGACTTCTGTAATTAAGGTATACATAGCAATTGATTCTTTTTGGATAAAAATCTGCATGTGGACCTAACTCCTGTAGCGCTCACTAAATAAGCTAGAGTCGTCTTCTGCTGTACTTCTTGTACTTTCTCTATCTAGACCTACACTCTTCATAATAGATTGTTCCAAGAAAATTTCGATACCTCTGCTTCCAAATTACGACTTTCAAGAAAGCAATAAATGAAGCAAACAAGTAAAGAGTATTTTGAATATTCATGGTAGTGTACTTAACTACCAGACTTTTGAATTCTTTTCCCTTGTGGTGATTATCTCAATGCTCCAGTTAAGTCCACAAGATATATTGCTATACATTTATATTAAAAGTTCAACGTTAAAGCAGAATAAACCAGTGTTTTTCCCTCATATTCAGTAGACTTTAGTCATGCTTCAAATTTGGACGAACCTGCAGACTCAGGTTTTACATAGCGAAGTAGATGCCTTAAAGTGACTGGGAGGGTGCTTTTCCGGGGGGATGAAACTATGCTCAGCTTTGATGCTTTGGTAAAATGTCAAGAAGCCTGATGTGTTAAGGCAGTTTTCCCTCAAAGTCCAAGTGTCGCCTTCACCGTTGGCAACAAGGCCCTTTTCTATTGCTCCCTCTTGCTCTGTACTGTCATGGTCCACGTTCTTCCGTGCACCTGCTGTAACCTAGTGAGCGTCTGGACAGCAGTTCCCTGCTCAGACTGCTGCAAAAAGTTGGATGTTAATTTTCTGATCTCAAGCTAATCAAAGCTGGATTTAGGACCGATGGTTTTACGTATTTCAAAGACTGAAAAAGTCCAAAACAAAATTGGATAAATCGACTGCTATATGCTGTGGAAGGACTTGTCCTACCATTCCATCATGACACATCTCTGAATGTACCTGGAACAGGAACGAGTCACAGTACAGGCCATAAGGACTTCAAGCATGTTTAAAGTATCCTAAATCTTTATATGGAAATGGCAAAGGGAGGACATGCTGGCTGCTGACTAGAGTAGAACTTGTGGAACTTTTCCAGGTCATTGTAATTTAAGAAAGTCTATTGTTACAAATACTGAATTTGGAAGAAACTGGGTTTTCCTCCTGCCTTGTAACACAGCTGAGTTCTGACTCGTTCCTGCATTCTGTTACGCAAGGGGAGCAAATCTGACTGACAGGGCAGGTGATGTAACTCTTAAGATGACAAACTCTAGCTATAGGACTAGTTGCAGATTTCCACTAGTCATGTTTTCCCATGGAATAAGACGGACTAATTGAAATGCCCCTGATTTTGTGCTTTTATTGCTTTATCTAAGTCATCCACCACTTCCTGCAGCTTCTGGAGGCTGGGGTGGACGTTCTCCTCCATCCACTCCTCTACAGTACACTTGTGGAAAACTTCCTCCATGGCTGCTTGGAGGTCTTGCACCACAGCGTTCCACTTGGAGAGAAGACTAAGCAGAAATCAGAAGGAAGAAACAATCACATTTGCAGCCGAGCTCTGCCTCAAGGGAGGGCTAGCTTACTGGGCCTTTTAAAGGGAGTACGGTCCTTAAAATGACTTTACAGGAAAAGAAGCATCTATTACAAGAGCTCAAAGGACTTGATTTTGTGCAGATGGCAAAAGGTTGATGCTGTTTAAGTACCATTAATCTTGGCACTCTTCTTCTGCAATGACTTTTAAGTACAGAAATGTGAGCTCAAAAAAACCACTGTACACATTCTAGGTGTAACTGAAACCCACTGTGAGACTTGTTAGGAATTTAATTCTGGTTTTTACCAGCAAGAGTGAATCCAGTTGGATGTTTGCCTTATCACAGCAAAAATGTATACATTTGCCATTTAGCATGAATCAGCATCATCTTTAGGAAGAGTTCCGAAAAGCACATACAGTGACAGGGAGCAGGGGAAAGGGGTCGGGTTTTATTCCAAGCCCTGCCTGGAACCTGGCCCGGGGTGGGCTCCTACACAACTGCTGAAAGATGCAGCCTGTCTATCGAGGAGTAACTGCATATACAAGGGAGTTTTTCGGAGACCAACTTTGTACTTGTATTCAAAGAACTTGTTCAACAGAGGCAAAGATAAGCATGTTCTTCTGTTTAAAACCGTATTACGAGTACTTCATATCGTTTGATTTCCACTGATGCTTCTGAAGTAATTTTAGAAAGAGGCAAAGAATCAAAACTATGTGTTGGGCACTTGAGTGCCCAAAATATGACAGACTTTATTTCCCCTATAATGCAAAATAAGTGCTGTTACCTTACTGCGTCTGGCTGAAAGTGATGCATTATTATAGGATGAATAATCCTCCTTTTTCTGTGGTAGGGGCTGAACCAGCCTGTGACGTATCTGAAAATGAATGTTAGTATGAGCAGTTTTTTGGAACAGCAGCGACATATGTGTTTGTAGGCTGACAGGGAGGTGATAGGGCTTTAGCTGAACTTCTCCTGCACAAATAGAGATAATGCTTAAGAAGTAAGTAAATTTAAGTCTATATATCTTTGGAACTAGCTTGTAAAAGACTGTTCCTGGCAGATGAGAATAACTGATCATCTGTTGCAATTTAAGTTTCATGTCAAGCTCCTTTTTTTGGTAACCATACCATTAAAAGAAATAATTTTTACTTTAAATAACAGTGAGATTTAATTCAGGAAAGAACTTGATTCTTGCAATAAGGCAGGACATAGTGTTTAGGAATTCTGCTGAAATACTTTAAATTTGCATCTAAGCATTACATTCTGCTGAGGTGTCAATATATAGGGATGTGCCGCCTGAAATGCAGAGCTTGATGTTTAAATGACCTTGCTGGAGTTATGCCCCATTTGGAGACGATACAGCTCCCACACTCCTGCAGACAGCCAGAGAACCAACATAAACCTTATTACCTGTTCCTTTCAAGAAGTTCATCCACTGATGACTTGAGGTAGAAACTAACTTGCGTCACAAGCGTAAGGATATTGCTCCCAGGGAAGGTCCCCAGACTTGTGCTGTCCAAAGAGGATCCGTTAGTTTCCGAACTTACCACGCAGTGAGAAGCATCTGAATCCCACAGCTGGAATTTTACCTCATGAAAGTTTCGGTTTCCAGGTTGGACATTCCCAGGAGCTCTTCCACATTTTCTTTAATCTTTTCAGAATAGCCACCTGGCAGAAGACAGTGGAAGTAAGTAAAAGGAGCCTAAATAACCAAAACGTTCTTAAAAAGGGTTTTTCTGGAGTACCCTGCATTGGCTTAGTAGTTCTTGGATGAAGATTTTTTAAAAGGTAAAATGGAAATAGAACAAGGGAAAAAAAACTTGGGGGTGGGAGGAGTACATTGTCTTTCACACAATTGCCTTGTGCTAGGTAAAGCACTTCCTAGCTATGAGCTTTCCATTCAGGGCGCTGAATATTTTTAGTGCCTCAGTTAAACATAGGCAAGTTGTGTTTTTTTTATTTTGAAAATAAGAAATGCAGAAAGACAAAAATAAAAATTCTATTGGCAAGTGCCTGTGAAGAAACCAGAAACTACAGGAAGTATTTTACCAGATACTGTACCACCTAGATCAATTTTAAGAAAATTGATTCGTTAAAACAACTTCTATATGTAAACAAGATCTAAATCAAAACAAAATTAGTCTCGTTGATATACCAGTAGTGTTTCAAATCAGTTTCAAAAGCAATTCAGCTTATTTTTTTTTTTAGTATAAGCATGAAGCAGTTTGTGACCTTTTACGGGTTAAAACATAATAAATGATTAGTGTACTACGGCTATTTTTAAATACTTAGGCCAAGAGGCTTCTTTGCTCCTGTACTGCAAACATGCAAGATGTATAATTTATTGTTCGTAATTCAGACCACGATCAGATAGTCAAACCACCTCAAAATATAAGAAGCCTGTGCCAACCTCAGGGCAAGGTCACTTCACTCTTGTGCTAGGCATTAGCTGAGAGAGAATAAAGTTGTCACTGTACCATTCTTTAGTGCCTGCAGACATACAGCCAATGATGGAATTGCCACAGGGAGAAGCTCACACAAAACAGAGAAGTGATCATACCTAAATAAGAAAACATTCATTCATTAGACATTTTACTGTTAGAACATACTCAACAAGTGGGAAGTGTTAATATTTCAATCACTAAAATTCAAAGAGCTTTAGAAACATCAGTTTCTGTCTCAGAGAAGGGACCTTCTATCTCTGAAACGCTAAGTATTCCTGTTTTACTAATAAGAACAGATACAAACCAAATTACTTTCTCAAGCCAAATTAGGGTCAGAAATTGGAACTCAGCTCTCTCGTATTCCCTTAGACCTCCTGACTTGCATAAAAACCTTTTACTCCTTCATTACATTAACAAACTCTTCTCTCTTACGCGACTTCGTTCTATTTGAATTCACATTAGACATTCAGATATACAGCATGCGTTAACCACGCTGTCTGTAAGCAGGCCAAGGTGGTACACAGTACGTTCAAGCCTTCAAAGCCAGTCTGTTATTGTTGGTGTCTGCCAAAACAATTGCTCCTGCTGATTAATGCTGTAGCAGTTGACTGGAACGCTGACACCCACCCTTCACAGTCAGTTGGGTGAGGCCCAGCAGTAACCGACAGGAAGAATTGCAGGGTTGCAAAGTTCCCTTCTAAATCCCCAGCCTCCTTGTACCTCTTAGGGAGTTTTTGGGTGGAAGTTTGCTTCCGTGTGATCCTCGGAACCATTTAAAAAGATGTTCCTTACCTTTGCCAGCCGGTCAGCGCGATACCTTCAAGGACATCAGCGGGGCTATTGCTTGCCACTTTCAGCCACTGAAGATGGTTTTTCAAATGGTGTCCAATAAGCGTTAGAGACTGATTCACTCCTGTAGCTCCTTTAAAAGCACTAGCAAACCACACCTTGGAGAAGCCACATCTGCGATACTTCTCTACGAGATGCACTGAAATAAGACACAAAAGAACGCTGCAGGACAAGTCTTTATCCATTTTCAGCGTTGCCTGTAATAGCATTAACAGGAACCCAGGTCCAGTTACAACAGGCTGCTGAGCCTTGTCCTGTCAAGTTTTGAGCATCAGCAAGGATGGGAGATTTGACATCCTCTCTGAGCTACCCGTTTCGGTGACCGCCCTCCTGTTTTCCTGTGCCCAGTTACTATATTCCATTCCCTTGAACTGCTAAATTGCTTCAATGCTAGGAACCATGGGCATGTAACAAGCACGCACAACATCTGACAACTGATTCTTCTTTCACCAAAGAAATATTTGTGTGCATGTTAGATGCCTCACTGGAGCCTTTAAGAGTTTTTCCTTCGAATTCTATAGATGTATGAAGCCTTGAAGCTTCTTTTGTAGAGTTGTTCAATACGGAGCTATCTGCTCCCACTGCAAGGAGAGTCACTGTAACAGTGCTTGTGAAAAACCTCTCAATCTCCCACCAGTGATTCCGTAGCCCTGTTGAAAAGAATTGAGCAGCAGACAACGCAAGTCCTTCATAGGAGAAGCATAAATAGGAAAAGAAAATAAATAATAGCAACTATTATGTGAAATCAAACAAGGACTATGTTTATGCTACTAAAGCAATAGAAAGCAATTTAACAAAAATAGAATTTTTTGGTGTCCAACTAAGATATGTTTTAATCATACTATTTTGTTTTGGCTATTTTGCTTAACAGGTAACAGAGCTCTTTGCTTCTAAGCAGCTCAGCAGAGAAGTACAAACCTTTGCCCTCCACGTCGAGGTCTGCTGCATAGTCCCAGATCATTGGCTGCACAAGCTGTGGGACCCCAGACTCTGAAAAGAACAGTGTTCTTCTAAGTAATGGAAAACAGCCAGTTAAAAGTGAGAACTAAGTACCTATTATTGGTGCAGTAACACATGACTAGAACTAACTATGGCTTGTCACTAGAATTCTTCATTTACAGTTGAAGTGCCCATGGGCATTTTCAGCCTGGCCAGGGCTTTGAACACGCGGGTTCGCATGCCAAGGGCCACTAAGTCCTTAGACATCTTGAAACCACTAAAATGGATCAGCAGCGATAATTCATCGGAGATCCCGTTCGTCCCAAGCCCATCTCATTCTTAGTCCCTTGAATCTATCAGTATACCTGCTGGGCTGACCTGGTGGAGCTGCAAACTGCACATGCAAGAATACAACCAAAGAATCATTAAAGGTTGGAAGAGACTCTGAAAAGAACAGTGTTCTTCTAAGTAATGGAAAACAGCCAGTTAAAAGTGAGAACTAAGTACCTATTATTGGTGCAGTAACACATAACTAGAACTAACTATGGCTTGTCACTAGAATTCTTCATTTACAGTTGAAGTGCCCATGGGCATTTTCAGCCTGGCCAGGGCTTTGAACACGCGGGTTCGCATGCCAAGGGCCACTAAGTCCTTAGACATCTTGAAACCACTAAAATGGATCAGCAGCGGTAATTCATCAGAGATCCCGTTCGTCCCAAGCCCATCTCATTCTTAGTCCCTTGAATCTATCAGTATACCTGCTGGGCTGACCTGGTGGAGCTGCAAACTGCACATGCAAGATTTCAGCTAAATTCAAAGGAAGTATTCACCCTTTAGGTTAGAGATTGTCTGAGTTGTGTTTGCACAGAACTTAGCTTTTCAAGATGCCTTTAAAGTACAAATAAAGATACAGGTTTAGCTTCAAATCCCTTTATAATCAACTCCCTGACTAGTTTTAAACATGAGAAACCGACCCCTAGAGAAACTGCAGTAAATTATACAGAAGTTCAGTATTTTAACTGCATCCCATTTTAATTTGTTTAGTCTGCGATTGCCTGTAGCAGTACAGTGCACTCAGCTAGACGCTGCGCTGCTCCCGTGGAAACTGCATGGGGCCTATCTGCGTTTTTTTGGTTGATTTCCCACTATTAAAGCCATGAATAGGTCAGTCACTGCTGGAGGAGCTCTTCACGGTATTGTCTAAACCTGTTTAGAGTAGACACATAAGGTGGCTCTGAAAATGCTGGAACTCCATCTGTGCTAGGACTACTCAAATTTTAGCAGTGGTTTCATGTTTTTCAACAAACAAGACTCGTGACGTCAGGTTCTTGGAGCTATCCCACAGTTCAGCATCGGAGCTCCTCATGATGGGCACTGTGATCACCTATACTGTCAAAGACGCTCACGGGGTCGCAGCTTCTCCGTGTGAGTCTGCACCACCGGAACCAGATGCTGCACAGAGCAACAACTGACATTAAAAGGTGGTGAAAGGCATAGAAATTTAGGCTGAGACCACAAATGCTAATAGGCTGGTTTTTTAATGCGTAAAGAAAGTAGAATTGATGGCAACCACTGCCTGATGACTGTTTTGTTTGTCACTGTGTATTAGCAGCTGGAAAACTAAAGTGTTTGTGTTGAGACTTGCCCACAGTCATACAGAAAGTCCGTGACATAGCCAAGGACTGAATGTCTCTACTCTCTAGTCTAATGGATCATATCTCAACTATTCTCAGATTTCTTGTTTTCACTGTTTTCATCTGCCGACCAATCTGTTTTAACTGGTTGTGTAAACTTTTTTGTATGCTACAAAATATGACTCACCCCATCACTGGTCACACACCTGCCAGTGTTTCCTCACTTATCCCTCTGAGCATATCATCCCACACGATGGGTGTCACAGTGGGATAAGACGAGGCCACACAGCTTGCTACTGCTTTTATGTGGGATAAGCACAGCTTCTCTGGAGTGTTGTCTTGCTGCTGCAGCCATTGCTTTGACTCCTCTCCTTCGCCGAGGTAGTAGACCTGAAACATCAAACAAGTAATCCTGACTTCTTTTATAGGATTAGGGGGAGCGAGTCTGACACAGGGTCATGAAATCATACAATATTCAAAACCTATTGCGAAGACATGACCCACTGAGTGGACATATTCAAAAGCACCTCTCGGTGTTGAAGACACTGCAAGCATTTCTATCAGTCTGCAGGAGGCTCTGGCTGTGACTAAATGCATCACGTAAGGGAATTTTCCTACAGAAACTAAAATAGCTAGAGAATAATTAAAGCATGCTGTAGTTGTCTTTGGAAGGTTTGTCCTTGGAAGTAGCTCTCACCAGTTTTACTCAGTTCAAATCTAGCAACCTATAAGGTCCTGAATTATATAAAATGAGGTTCCTGTCTTGGGGAAGGAGATCATTTATACGTGAATCTAGAAGGGACTTGGGGCCATGTCCAAGAGTGGCCCCAGCGTACTTGGTCCTATGCAGAAAGTGGATTTGGGCCTGTTAAGCTGGATATGCATTTAAACTCTTTGTTGTTTTAGAGCAGGTTTTATCCAAAACACATTTATTCTACATAAATAGTATTTTGCTTTATAAAAGCTTGCAGGTCCTTACCTAACCTTGCCCTTTGTTCCCAAACAACAGGATTCCAAATGCTAAACTAATATCAGTACAGTTAAGGTGATCACAATGAATTTCAGGGATCTGCGTGCCACGGGGCTGGTTTTAAGAAACCCTGAGAAAGGAGAAAACTCAAGGTTCTCCTCCTCAAGGAGCCAAACTACCGAGAGAAAAAAACACAAACCACTTCCCACCACAAAAGGGCTTACTTTGAGTAAGTTGGCCAGAACAATGAGCCAACATCTTACATGAAAACTCACATGGTTCTTAATGAATACCTCTAACTGATATCTCACTTTAAATACTCATTTGACCTAGAGCCAAATGCTGAGTTAGCTTTAAGAAACTGCTTTCAATACTTCCGATATTACACTCATCAATAGAAATGACATCCTGTGCTACTGGAATCATTTATTGTCAAAACAACTTTTCTACACTGGCTTGAATTGGTGTCTTCTGTCCCCAAAATCCTACCCAAAAGAGGCCTCGGCCCTGACTATCATTCCTCACAAAAAAATATTCCTGGCTCAAGAGAAGTCCCACCTCATCACATCCGATGTGAAACCATTTTACGTCTTCGTGCAGTGCCATGACCTGGTCGATCATGGCTTTGACCAGTGCCCGCGACTCCTCTTTGTGTGGGTTGAGGGCGTTGGGAAACATCTTCACCTCCCGGAGATGAGCAAACTCTTTGTGCTTCAGCACAAACTGCAAGAGAAAGGGGAGCTCGGGGAACAACCGTAAGATGAAGGGGAGAGCGGTGTCCTCTTGTGTCACCAGGGCTCTGCTAACAGTTGTCCTACTACAACCTGGGTTTTGGCCATGCGTGAGCACCGAGGGGACAGCACGAGGCCTCTTGCCAGGGGTGGTACAGGCAGGGGGGGTGCTCCACAGTGCTGCGGGGGGTCCCCGGCCACGAAGCACCTCACGGGTGAGGGAAACGGGGTGTGCAGTGCACTCTCACCCTGGTGTCCGGAGCGCGCAGCTGACGGGAGCCGGATAACCGGAGCACCGGGAGTTACGGTGAAGATTTCCCACCAGACCCACGC